CCACATGCGTTCCTGATGGGAATACAAAATGGTGCGGCCGCCATGGAAAACAGCTTGGCAGTTCCTTAAAGAAAACCTTAAAAAATTAAACATAGCATTTCAACACTGCAATTCCACTCCAAGGTACATGTCCAAGAAAACTGAAAACACATGCTCACATGAATGTTCACAGCAGCATTATTTCCAATAGCCGATAAATGGAACTAACTCAGTGCCTATCACCTAATGAACAGATAAATAAAACGTGGTATACATGTACAATGGAATATTATTCACCGATAAAAAGAAATGAAGTCCTGACACACGCCATGACATAAACCTTAAAAAATGTTGTTGACTGAAATAGTTCTAGTGGTATAGTAGATAATGATGGGCTGAAAAGCACAAAGTTAACAATTTGAAACGAACTGTTTTACAGCACAAAGATGAGGCTTTCTACTCCTGTAAAGATTTGCAGTCTCAAAAATACACAGTTCTATTCTGTCCTATTGGGTTGCTCTAGTTGAAATTTACTCTGGCAGTGAGTTTGGTTTACTTTTTTGAGAAGTCAGTCAGAAAAGACCATATATTATAAGATTCCATTATATAAATACCCAGAATAAATTAATCCAAACAGCATAGACTAATGGTTGCCAGGTGCTGGTGGAGCAAGGAATGGAGAGTAAATGCTAATGGTACTAAACCTACCCACTGCCAGTCAATTCCAACTCATACTGACCTGATAGGACTAAGTAGAACTGCTTCTTTGGGTTTCCAAAGCTCTAAATCTTTACAGGAATAGAAAGTCTCATCTTTCTCTCCCAGAGCAGCTGGTGATTTCAAACTGCTGATACCTTGCAGCTAGTAGGCGAACATGTAACTCACACTGCCACCGAGGTTCCACAATCAATGGGTACAGAAATGCCCTTTCTTAGGATGGCAAACATGCTCTGGAATTAGTTAGTAAATGTACACCCAAAATGTGGATTATTACAATTTGTGAATGATATCTCAATTAAAAAGACCTTAACTACTGCTAACAAACAAAATTTACAGTAATATCTGAAATATGTCAAAAGAGCCTTTCCTAGTTCTAAAATACAATCAGCATTTCAAATATTTTGTGTGTTAGCTGCAAGTTTACATCACAAATTAATTTTCTCAATCAATAATTCATACAAAAGTATTCCTTGACACTGATTGAATGCAACACCGCCATGTGCCAGTGTTCTCTTTCCTCCCTCCGTTGTCCACTTCCATTTGTCTGGTTTACTCATCTTTCCTGTATTCTTCTCCTCTTTAGTTTTGAGCAAATGTTGCCCTTTTGGTCTCCTACGGACTGTTCTGAGGCTCACATTCTTCACAAATGTTGTTTGCTGTATAGTTCTATTATTTGGCTGAAAGTTGGCAATCTGATCCTTACTGCTTACTTCTAATGCTAACAGTAATCTCAGTAATCAAGTCTCATTTCCAATTTCTTAGAGGATTATAAAATCTTGGGATCTGAAAAGCTTACTCAGGCTTTCTTCTCATACAAACTAGTAATAAAATTATCTCTCTCAATCTCATTCTTATTACATATGCTTAATGAACACAGTAAAAGAAAAGGGCACAGTTAATGGTAGAACTCCAATGAGAGTGGCTACAAAGTCATGAGATATAATCAGTGCATTATGCAAGAACTTTATCTACAAATTATCACTGAGTCTTGATTTAAACCATTCATAACGAAAGCTCAAAAGGTATCCCATTACATCTTCAAAATCATCTATTGATTTACAGGAAAGTCCCCTCCCTTACAGTAACTTTTACCTCTGGCCCTAGTTCTGTACTTAAAGTCTCTTCCATTAAACCACCTCTGAAGTTTGAGGGCAGCCCTAGGGGTTAGCCATTGGGCTGCTAACCACAAGGCCAGCAGTTGGAAATCACCTGCGGCTGGGTTCGGTGGGAGAGATACATTTTCTACTCCTGTAGTTACACTTTGGGAACCCACAGGGGGAGTTCTACCCTGTCCTATAGAGTCGGGATGAGTAGAAATCAACTTGATGGCTGAGTTTGATTTTTGTTTATCAGTTCGGGGGATCATGTGTCAGGCCTGAGTGGTTCAGTGGTGCTAAAATAGCATGGAGTTCTCCTCTGGCTACTCAAGAGAGAAGGAGAATTCAACTCTACACAAACTCACGTATCTCCACCCTCCCTATTTCTTTACACTACTCTGACACTAACCTTTCCTCCTATGCCACTCTATTTTTTCTGCTGAATTTGATGTTTCGACTGTGAGTTTTGTGTGGTCCTCAGCCTCTCAGCCACACGGTCCCTTGGCCTCTCTCTGCCTCCATGGGCCATGAAGTCTGCCAGCTGCTCCTCGGCTTTGTCCCATGGTCTCTTTACCTTGGCCTCTGTTCTTGGCCTGGCTCTTTTGCTGTCTGTCCCAAGTTCGCTTTGCCTCTGACGCCTCTCGTCTTGGCCTCCGCCACTTCAGAGAGAGTT